CAGTTTTGTTCTGTTGCACATAAGGTCACCACAAGTCAGAGCTGACTCAACAGCAGCTGTCTATCTCTAACTTTATTTCAGGTACAAGACAACTCCTGAGGTATGGAACAGTATGATATAGTGGGAAATACAAGCAGGACAGTTTTATAGAGCATGGTAGAAAGTGATGGCAGAGAAAAATGGAAAACCTATTAACTAAAATGTTAATCAGAAATTATGCAGAAGAGATTCAAGAGGCAGTGAATAAATTTAGAGGCAATTGCAATAACCAGACCTGATCATAAGCGCCTACAAAAAAGGCAGTAGAAGCAGTGACAGTGACCACTTGAGAGATACTACAAAAAATTTATGGCAGGTATATTCTTTGCCTGAACCAGCATGCATGTATTGAACCATAATTTCATGCCTCCTACCTATCAGCTATTGTTGAAAAGAAAGTCCCACTGTCCTCCATCTCCTACCCTAAAGAAATGTCTGCTTCCAGAATTCTACTCTAGTACTATCTTAGTTACCTAGTGCTTCTGTAACAAAAAATACCACAAGTGGGTGGTTTTAAAGTACAGAAATTTATTTTATTACAGGTCAGGAGGTTAGAAGTCCAAATTCAGAGTCTTTCTCTAGGGGGAGGTCCTTCCTTGTTGGTAGTCCCAGGAGTTCCTTGGCATTTATCTTCCCCCTGCGTGTGTCTCTGTGTCTATTCTGCTTCTTTTATAACTCAGAAGTGATTAGCTGTAGGATCCACTCTACTCTGCTATGACCTCATTAACATAACAAAAACCCTATTTCCAAACAGGATCTTATTAACAGGTACAGGGGTTAGGATTTCAATACCTAGTTTTGGGTACACAATTCAATCCATAACATTCCACCCTTTGACCTCCTAAACTTCATGCCCTTCCCATGTGCAAAATACATTCACCCTATCACATTATCCTCAAACATTTCACCCATTCAGCATCAACTTTTAAGTCCAAAATCTCATCTTCTGAATCATCTAAGTAGGATGGCACTCTTGGTGTATTCTCTCCTGGGGCAAAATTCCTGTAAAATCTAAAATACAAGTTATCTATTTCCAAAGTATAGTGGTGAGCCAGATAGAAAATACACATTCCCATTCAAAATGGGAGGAACTGGAGGGAAAGGAGGGGTTATGGGTACCAAGCAAGTCCAAAACTGAGGAGGGAAAAAGTCATTAGCACTCAAGGCCTGAAAATAATCCTCTGATTTCCAGGCACACATGGCCAGTGGTCCTGCCCTCCAGACTCTGGGCATTGACCACAATCTCCAAATTCTGGGGGGAGGCCCCTTGACCCTAGGCAGAGTCTTAGCTTTCCAGGCCCACTGGGATGGCAACCCGGCTTCCTCAGCTCTACACAGCTCTATTCTCCAAGCCCACTGGCATGGCAGATTCACCCTCTCAACTTTGGGCAGTGGCCCCATTCTCTTGGCCCA